TCCTCCACTATACCTTTAAGTTCTGATCAGGCAACTGACAGACTAAAGGATGTGACCTTGACCCGGCAAAGTTAAAAGATACTTTTGTTTTTTAATAGAGATTTCGAAAGTCTGGATAATCGACGCCAATAATCAGATGTTGGCAGTAGAAAGTTATTAGGTTTCTGAACCTTGCTGGTCCCAAAGATGCTTGACTAAACTGTTTATCAGTTGATCAAAGTGAAGCCTATTATCTCTAGGAAGTATTATGAGACATAATCAACCTGATTACTCTAATCTGGTGGTCAGTGCTCCCTTCCTGTCCGGCTACACAGACGCTCTGCACGTCCTTTCTAGCCGTCTGTCCAATTTCTTCAAGGTTCTTTTGTAGCTTTTAAAACTCTTTGCTCCTTCATCATCTAACACCTATCCACTTGTAACAATTCACAGCTGTTCTCCGGGGACATCTTTTGATAGATACAGAGGAGGGACAACACACCAGAGCTGTGGTTTTGGAGATGCTCTGACCCAGACGTCTAGTGAATAAAATTTGGGCACTTGCCCTGCAGTCGGAGGGTTGGCGGTTTGAGCCATGTCTCTGGCTTTCAGTGTTGTTGTCCTTGGGCAAGACATTTCACATGCATTACCTACTGATGGCGGTCAGAGGGCCCGATGGCGCCAGCGTATGGCAGCCTCACTTCTGACAGTGAGCCCCAGGGCAGCTGTGGCTACAATGCAGCTTGCCACCTTCACTGTGAGATTGTGTGCATGAACGACTGAATATAGTGTAAAGAGCTTTGGTCAAGTCTCCTGACTTGGAAAAAAGTGCTATATAACTTTCCAGTTCTCCTACTTTTATCACATGCACTTTGAGGGCCAGTTATACCTCTTCATCTCACCTGCTAGTGGTCATATTGTTGTGCCTGATCAGTATATTTCAATAAATTAAACATATTCTTTGATTTATTACAATAACTAATTTTTTAAGGTTTATTGAAAGGTGCCAACTTTCCAACAGCAAACATTAGTCTGATACTTTATAAAACTTTAATTATCCCTGTCTATTAGCCAATAATCAGTGAATCATTATCCTGACCTCATGAGGTGAAACTGGTCTGGTTACGTTGAAGCTCTCCTCCACATCAGGCATGCCGACGTAAATGTTCAGATACCTGGGCAGAAATGATTACTATTAAGATCTCAGCTCTAAAACTTAAAGAAAATGCATTAGAATAAAGAATGGCTGTAAACAGACTGGGCTTACTTCAGGTACCACATTGGATCAGCATCGCTGGTTATTTTCTCATTGGCTTTCATGATTTTCTTAATCTAGAAAACAAACAGGGTATAAATTAAACTCAGAGAAGTTCAGGCAGGTGTATTGGAAATAGGAATGCAGAATAAATTAATAAATTCAAATAACATTTTATTTAAACAGAAAAATAAAATAATTAATAAGGATTTAGGGATCCATTTTACCTCAACATTGATGAAATAGTTAAATGAATCAATGTGCTGCTTCACCAATCCTTTCACCTGCAGAAACATAAGACAAGCGACAACAATAAGAGGAAACAAAATCTGATCTAACATGTTACATATATAGCAAAGTATTAGTCATTTACAACTAATGAATGCAGAAAAATGACTCTAAATAGGATGAAATATTCAGCTTGTTTAAAAGAGAAAGCCTAAGGAATAGTTTTGGTAGGGATTTACCTTCAGGAAGGCTGGTAACAATTTCCATTTTTCCTGTCAGAAAAAAAGAAACTATTGTTCAGTGATTTATTCAAATGTATCAAGCAGTTTTAGCTTTCATTGTTGTTAAATGTAGACCAATTGTTGTTTTTGTCCACCAGCATATGACACTATCCTGAGCTCGTGGTGCAGAGCACATCTGTCCCACTGTCCTCAAACTCACCGCCACAGTGTTGACAGGAGCCGCGAGCTCCTGAGGAGTCAGGCCTCCAAACTCTCCTCCCAGCACCTCCATTAGAAAAGCTGCTCCTCACCAGTAAACACATACAACTATGCAACAAAAAAAGTGTCTGAGGAGGATCAAATCATCGGAAGTCTTGCGAACATGCGTCCCGGTTGTGTTACTTTTTATAACTTCCCCCGAGAGGTTCACGGAACGAAGTAAAAGGTTCCGCTTCCAAAAATAGTATTATATATGAGAAACTTTAACCGATTAAACAACAAATGTTGACATATGCATAGATAAAAACAAACAAATCGTAGTTTGCAGAAGAGTTTTGGAGAAGTTTAGACAAACTTATAAGGACCAAAAACAGATATGAATTTACCATCCACTACAATTTGACAAAAAAGTCTTGACAATGAGAAAATAAACAAAAATTAACATAAAATTAATTTAAAAAACAAAATAATAACTTTTATATTTTTGGTAATTCACATTACAACAACTTTTCCTCTATAGATCATAATACTCATTATCAAAGAGCAATCCTTAAAAATACTGAATAATAATGATAAAATACTATATAAATATATAATATATGTGATAATCTTATAATATATTAATATTAAACTTTTTGTTTATAATATCAGTATTATTTGCAAAATATATAACTTTACATATCTCAGATCCAGTTTGAGATCAGTTTAAAAAGTATAAATATCTGTAATCTAATGTAAAAGTAATTTTAGAATTTGTTTTGGACTTTTAAGAGGTTGTGAAATGTAACAGATTGATGTTATATTATCTCTGGCTCGTCTCTCATGTGATTAAAATGAGATCTAAGGCGCCTCCTTTTCATTCTGACAGCAGCTGTCTGAACTGTGGTCTGATCCAAGATGGCCGCCCTCTAGGCACGTCAGCCTCTCTGCAGACACACAGCATCCAATGAGGCATGTAATTATATAATGTCTATGGGTCTCAATATTGTAGGTTTTCGCCATGTTGGAGTACCGCCTCCCAGTTTAAAAATAACAGACAGGAAACAAAGTAGTTTGCCTGCTGGCATAACAAAATAATTAAAAAAGATTATACAATAAATAATATTCATCTTTAATTAATCCATATTATGAAGACGAAAACACACAAAATGAATAAAAATGCACTTGCTACATTTATTGTTTTTTACTTAATGGAGAAAAAGACAATTTTCTAAACACAGAATTCTGTCTGTGGAGTGTGTAGCTTTGAAATCACCATTGCTTTGGCAACCTTTTTTAATCTGCAACTGCATTGCACTGCAGAAGTGGCCTCTTCCTGCACGTTTTTCACATACCTATTGCCAGAAAGTAGAAGTACATCAAATTTCATATGTGTTTTCTGATTTTGAGGGTTTAATGAAACATAGATTTCTGCAGCACACCTCTGTTGAAGAGCGCTGTTAAAACAATAAAGGGTGATCCAATCTTATTAATGCTGTCACACAGTGTGCAACAACTGTGTTTTCTATTAGAAACATAAAACAAAAAGACAGATGAGAAAAGAGAAAATTAAAACATGCAGCTAAAAAAACAGACATGTTCAAAAATTGGCGGCTTGTAAGTCAAACCAGTTATTTTGTGGCAGTTTAAGAAAAGAAACTGTTTAATTTCCATACAGTAAATATAACCTTAGATAAATGATCTACAGCAGACATGTAACGTCAGATAACAAATATGCAAAACATCTAAGGTCAGTTAGTAGTTGGATGAGTTCAGACCTTCACCTTATTGCAGATCTAGTAAAGCATAAAGCATATTATACCTAAAGAAAAAACAAGAGCCTTTCCACTTTCATTACTAACAGCTTGAGTGTACTTATCAGAAAAAAAAATTAAGGAAGGAATCAGTTAATACAGCTCCACCTACACTTTGCTTACACTTAATTCAAAGCAGGTTGGATTAAGGTGGAATCAGTTTTCAGGACAATCTAGCATGTTTTAAAAGTTTTCTTTAAAAAGGTGTTTAGAGCTCCTTCCACATTTACAGTAATCACCTATAAAGGTGGAAGAAATGTTTTTTTTGAAAATCTTCTTTTATTGTTTAGTTTTGCAATGCTGCCTTTCATTTAATGCATTTTATCACTGTGAAAAAAAATGCACGTTTTAGAAAGAAGTATTGTCCTATATTAAAAAAAATAGTAAAAAGCAATCATCAAAAATAAATGCAATGGAAGCAGTTAAATATTTACTCTACCTCTACATTTAGAAGAATGTCTGAGAAATTAGTAGTCATTCATTACGTCTGTATATATAAGCAGGTTAACACTGATCTGCACCTTTTTAAGTCCAGATTAAAGACTTGTTTTTTTAAGCTGGCTTTTAATACTTAGGACACATTGTTTTATGCTTATGATTTTATTAATAGTTTTTTTTTTTGCATTGTTTTTATCTTTCTGTGACGCACTTTGATCTTCCTGGTGTTGTTGTAAAGTGCTATATAAATAAGCTTTGATTCTAATTTAAACTGAACACCATACACAACAGGGAGCCATTGTGACATTTCACAAGGCATGTCATCTCACTTCAAGCGTCTGGTGCACAATAACAAAAATACAAACAGAATGAAATTGAAATGAACAAGCTTTAAACTGTCTAATAAATCAGAAAGAAAAAATATTGCTTCTCTTCTACTATGATGTGAATTTAAATGTAACCAAAAGAAGTTGACTCATTTATATTAACATGATCCTTTTGCTGCAGCCAGGTTTCTGTAAGTCAAAATAAATCAATCTTGTTTCAAATCAAGTCATTAATTAACAGTCTTTGAGGAGAGAGATTTTATGTTCATTAAACCATGTTTTATTCTTTTCAACACTTTTACTTCTATAAGAATGAAAATTTTGGGGTTATTACAAAATCTGGGATTACTTTTATTCATAGCAATGATTAACATAAGGATCTCACAGATACACATTACACCTTTTCAAATACATCTTACTTTGCTAATAAAACCATTAGAAATATTTTATTAAAAGCTTTAGATACATGGTTGGATCAGTACAGATTATGATTCTCCTGATGGATGTAGACTTCACCAACTGGTTTTAGGTAAAATCTCTTTTGGAGTCAGTGTGAGTGCTGCCCCGTGTGTCTGCTGTTGCTGCTGAGCAGTTTGGGGTAGGCAGTCCCCAGACAGCGGCCCTGCCTGATGACCACCAGCTCCATTTGACACTGATCGATGTTGACCAGCACAGTTGTGCTTCGCTCTGTGTTCATAAGGAAGATGATGGTGAAGAGGGCCATTTCGAACTCGGGGCTGGTTCCGATGAAGGCGCTGCCGACGGGCTTCACCACACCGTGCCAGCTGAACTGGAGGTTCAGGACATGGTCGTCCTGATCAGGCTGTAGAAAAAGCATGAATTAACATGTTAGGGCGCATTGACAAGCAAGTCTCCAGAAGCAGTGAACTTACCAAGTCGTGGTCTCTGGCCTTGTAGCCTTTATAGTCCAAGTGGCTGTTTTTCTCCTGCAGGTAGAACTGGACCCAGTTGTGAAACCCGATAATTTCTGTTCCAGATTTGGTTTCACCAACAAAGACGTGTTCAAATCCACAAGAGTCTGGGCTGCAATGATAAAGTGAGAACTTTTCTTAACACTTCCTGAAAAATTTAAATATAAACTACATAAAAAGATACATCTGTTGACATTTCTGGGACCCTCACCCTGTGTTTCTCTGTCGGTGGTACAGATGGAACCAGATCAAGTTGAGTTGACTCTTAAACTGCGTGATGTCCGAGCTGGACTTCCCTTTGCTCACCAGGTACTGATGAGCCCGCTGGGGAGAGGTCATTATTCATTACTGCAAAGTAGACTGTAAACTACCAGACTTCAGAAATGTACCTGTTCTGTAAAAATCTGATTTTTCCCAGTGACAGGACTGGACTCGTTTTGGGAAGATACACCTAAAGGATTCTTAATTAAATTATGGACACTGTACCACGCAACAGTATTGACTGCACCAAACCTTTCAATTTTTTTTTTTTACTTTTAAACCACATATTTCTAAGTATTTATATAACTAAGTTGGAGGATGACTGTGACGTATGAAAATGGAGAGGGTATAGCCCCTCAAAACTGACAGACAAGGCAAGGAGAGCATTGATTGATGTCGGTGGCTGCACCTTCTCCAAAGGCCAGCCATTTTTAAAGATCCGCTTCATTTAGCTCCTGGCCCAGCTTCTCCTGCATATAAGCAAACGTTCATCCACCTCCACCCCTATTCCCTCATTATGAGTCTCACTCATCCTCTGGCTTGGTCCACTGCCAGGGTCCGGGACCCGAGGGAAAACTACTCTAATCCTTTTCTTGGTTACTCATCCAAGTGCATGTTGATTCACAGCATCAAAGCGTTCTGCCAGCGCCAGAGCGCCAAAGACTTATTTCATTTATGTCTTTTTCTTCTTCTGTCTCTTTGAACCCCAGTCGGCCTCGGCAGATGGCCGCTCACATTGAGCCTGGTTCTGCTGGAGGTGTCTTCCCATTAAAAGGGAGTTTTCCTCTCTACTGTTGCTACATGCATGCTCAGTGTGAGAGATTGCAGAGAGTCAATGAGTCCACAATCCACTGGTTTTCCTTAGATAGAAATATTTTGAAGAATATGATTTAATTAAATTTAATATTTTCTAATTGCAGCTTTTCTCAGTGTGAATCTCTCCAGGTTGAATTATACTTCTCCCCTTCTTATCATGTGCAGCTTTGTGTTGATCTACCATGCAAAATCCAAACGGAAGATATTGAAGCTTTAAAGGAAACACATTCAAATGGTTTAACAATTTTTCAAGGCACAGTATTTGAACTTTTCATACAAAAATGAATACAGTATTGAATAAAAAAACACCGTCACCCTTCATTTTCACTGCCGCTAAGCAGCTATGCAGCTGATAGTGAGAGGAAAGGTGTTGAGAAAATCCCTACCCTCTTTTGGTACCAAGATATCAAAAGCTTTATGATCAATGTAATAAACAGCTTCTTAAATCAAGCTGTTAAAATGCTTAGCTATGCTATTAATACTATTGGTACAATATTGTGAATATTTCTGTTTAATTGTTTTCGTTTAAATCTTTCAAGTATCCCATAGAGTGACTGTTTTATAATGGTGTTTGCTATTAGTTATGAAATTGCATTAAATTTAGCTGATTCTACATTTCTGTTTACTGTGTTTCTGCTTTTTACACCATATCATTAATGTGATCAAAACATGGCCATAAATACTACATTTATTTATCTCTACTCCAAAGAGAGATAATCCAAAATCTCCTCAGAGCAAAGAGCTTACAGACTTGGAACAAAATGTCCACATTTTTCCACTGATCCTCTTTAGGGACACCATGGAGGCCAACTTTGCATTCCACAGCTGCACACAGATGTTTCAGCTGTTTGTTATTTTTCACTCTAACACCATGAAGTTTTGTGTTTTGTTCCTGCAGGGACAGGAAGAGACAGCTGCAAACTCCAGCCACAAAACAGCAAAAATGAAAAAGTTTTTTTCCAAGTCTGTGGGGAACTGAAGGCATTGAAAAAACACATTAAAACAAAAATATGTTAAAGGAGTTGTTAAACCCAGCTGGTTTCACACACCTTCATGACCTGTGTCTCTAAAACAGCATCCAGAAAAAGACTGATTTCTGTCTGTTCCTCTGGAGTGACTCGCTCTGTGATACCTGTTGATCGTTCATAGTTGTCCAAGAGTTTCATGAAGCCTGCAGGAACAGAAATCCAGTTGATTAAGAGCAGGATTTCCTGAATGTGTTTGGCTGAGGCAGTGAGAGAGCTCTGAATCACTCACGAGAAAAAGTGGTAGTGTTCCTCATTTTGTTCTCGTTTACGTTGGAGAAAAGAGGCAGTGAGGCGTGATCCATTACAACATGGCTGCCCTGGTTCACAAACCCTGCTCTACTCTGCAGAGGAAACATAAAGAACCTACAGATACTTTGAACAAACAGCAGGCAGGGAAGTGCAGTGTTATTAAGGAGCTCCTCACCTGAACAGAGATGGTGTAGTCTATCCCAGGCGTCATGCGATTCACATCCAGGCTCCAGAGCTCATTGAAGATATTGGATAGCTCCTGGTTTAAAACTGGCCTGTTACAGAAATGCACACAAATCGGACTACTGCTAAAACAAGTGCATGAGGAAAAACATCTTTTCTTTTATCATAAATTACCTTGATGCATTAGCTCCGCTGAGAAGGACTGCCAGAAAGAGGCTTCCACAAAACCTGCATTTCACACAGTTTCTATCAACAGCCTTGGTTTAAAACTGCCTAGTTAGTGCAAAAATGAACTTTAAAGAGAGAAAAAAGTTAGTAATTATACAGACCTTGCAGCCATGATAACAGAAACTCTTCTCTTCTATAGTTCACACTACAGCAGAGCACCCACTAATGTTTGAGAAAGTCCAGCCTCCACCCATTATCCAACCCTCTGCAGGGGTCTGAGAAGAATCCTGATGTGAGCCCTGCTTGTTGAAGGAGAGGGTGGGTGTGATTAACCACCAGGAGGAACCCTGCTAAAGGATAGTTTTTAATCCACTTTCACAGATTAGTTTCCAATATTATGCAAACAAAGCCCTCTGATTATAATGTGAAAAACTTTGTCTAAATGTCAAGAAGATTTAAGAGCAACTAGAACCAAACTCTGCATCACTGATAGATACAGAATGCAAGAAGTTTATAATTAGGATTCTTAGCATCATCTAGCAAATTAATCTCATTCACATCATCCTTAACAGCAAAGAAAAGCACTGGTCACCTCCCACCTTTTTTTTTTCTGTGTGAGGACAGCAAGTTGCATTTATTTGATTCACTAAATGAATAATTTCACCAAATTGTGTCAAACTCCAGCTGCAATATAGCAGATCACTTGGCCCAGAAGAGGACAGTAAGGGAATTTAAAAGGGTCATGGGAATGTCCCTCTCCTCTGTGTGGATCTTTTCTAGGACTGCTGCGGGAAAGGAGGTCTATCATCAGGGATTCCTCACATCTCCATTTAAGCAACCAGAACAACTAAAACTAAAGTTTCCAAATGAAGATTTTAGAATGTTGGACTTAAATGGTTATCCATACATCATATATTCTGCTTATTTTAACTAGTGCAGTGATAAAAACCCCACATATGACTTTCTTTAGAATAAAATAGAATAGAAAATCCCTTTATTGTCCCACAATTGGGAAATTCTGGTGTTTACAGCAGCAAAGCGATAATAGAAAAATTTATTAACATAACATAATAGTGAAGAGTTAAAAGATAAACAATTAAATACTGTACTGTAAAGTGTTTCTAACAATATACAAACTGTGCACCTGGAGAATAAATAACCAATATACAGCTATGGACATGTTTTGCAGCAATGGATATTTGAAAATAGCAGCAACATCAGAGATGTGCTAAATGACAACAGTATGTCATTTAACGGACTAAGGCAGAAACTGTGCAAAATCAGCATGAATGTAACAGCCTATTTAGGTTGTTGGGAACAGTGGTGGTTATAGAGTCTTACAGCTGCTGGAAGGAAGGATTTGTGATAACGCTCCCTGGTGCATTTAGGGTGCAGCAGTCTGTCACTGAAGGAGCTCTCCAGTTCAGCAACTGCTTTATGCATGGGGTGGGATATATTATCCAACAGATTGTTGCAAAATGACTTTAAACTGAACTGAAGTAATCTTTCACCCCACAAATTGTCAAAACCATGTAATGTTTTTCTGACCCTGCTGCTATGATTCAAAATGATTCATCTACAAGAAAAAAACGTAAATCAAGAGGAAATTTTGAACTTCTACAATCATAGAATTCGGTAGGCTATTAAAATGTTATGGTTCATGTATAGTTGTTCTATTTGACTTCAAAATGAGTAGCTCAGATCCTTTGGAATGCATTTGGATGTTTCAGCCAGTGGTATTTTCTATCCAGTAGTTTAAATGGTTTCTAGTATGAAAAGTAACCAAGAGGAAAGCAGAAGATAGTTTGAAGGCCTCTGTGCCACAGACCGGGAATCCCACTGATGACATCAGAAGAGGCAGCTTCTGTGGTCAGTTTAATGCTACCTCAGAGAACAGCTTGAGGCAGGCTTAGAACAAACCTGAACCTAGAAGCTCCAGCCTAATTTCAGTCCTTATAAACCCTGGAGGACGGGATACACTGACATGATGGGCTAGATTCCAGCTTTTTAATTTCATTACTGCATTTAACTCATCCCCTTGGGGAGCAGTGGGCTGCCATTGTGCAGCACCCAAGGAGCAGTGTGGGGTTAAGGGTCTTTACTCAAAGACCCAGAGTAGCAGTCCGTGGGTAGTGGGGCTCGAACTCAGAACCTCAGGATTCCAAGCTCTAATCACTAGGCCACCACTCCCCCTCAGATCCAACAGGCTTGAGTTTGAGGCGTGCGCATTAGATTTAAGACCAAGATTTTAACACTAAGATATCATTTTATTTTCTTATAATTCCCTAAACATTTTGATCTTTCAATAAATTTGAACAAATCGATAAGATTAAAAAAATTAACATTTTATAGCTGGAAAACCTTCTGCTTTACACCGACTTCAAACTGCTGTTGATGCCTCCCAATGTGGATTTTTCTAAAAAATAAAATAATTAGATCTAAATTTGGTTTTACAAACACATTTAAATATAACTGACAATGAAAAAAAAAAAAAACAGAGTCATTTGAAATCACAGACGGACTTTAGTAGTAAATATTCACGTTCCCTGGCGGATTTTAATTTACTGCAGAACAGAATCGTTTAAAAATGAACAACTCCTTGACATCATGCTTGGAATAATGAATATACCCACAATTTATCTTCACTTTGGAAACCATAAATACATGATTTATAGTGAAAAAACAAAACCAAACCACTTTCAGTTGTTGGTATTTTATTGTCCAACAGAATAGAAACAAGGCTGACTTAAATTAGTTTATTGATCTCAAGAACTGCATTTAAAATTGTATAACCTATGACAGAATAAAGAGCTGAATTACAGAATTATTGCAGGGAAATGATATTTTCTCAGACTACATGTTCAAAGGAACAACTAAATAGGTTCCCAGATCCTTCCAAGATAAAAAGTAAAATACAAACGTGTTAAACTCCGAAATCATGCAAGGATATTCTTCAGACTGGTTAATGTAGTTTATGTGCAAATTGATGAGCATACAAATCTTCATAAAAAAAGATGAAATATCAGACCACAGTTGTTTAATCAGCAAGGTTCAGTCGTGTAGAAAGAGAAAACATAGCAGCTGCAGAATTTGTTTTTAAAGACATACTTTGATTAAATTTCCTCTGTGAATTCGTCCGTTTCAGCAAAGCCCACGTCTTCCTTTCATTTTCTAACTCTGAAGGCAACTAAAATTGATATATTAAAATATATAAAATCGTATTTTCATGGCATTTTCTTGCTGGTTGACACTTTATATACCACAGAGTATAAAATATTTCCAGAGACCAGCTGGTAGTTAACAGTGGTGCTATCCTAAATGTTCCCTCGGACATCAGTAATGGTGACGAATGGGCCAGAGACGCTGACAAAGAGAAGGAGGAAGCTGTAACACTTTTGGCTCTTTAACACTAAAAGGCAATAAAAGGTCGTTAACGGTGAGAAGAGGAGGGTCGGCCCAGAGTTTCATTCACAGCAGGACCGGGTCGGACCCAGACTGTCTCATGCATTGGATTCCTCATCGGTGACACTCGGGTTTGGAGAGTTTGACATCTCTTTAAAGAATTCATCTTCTTTCAGCATACTCTGGAAGACAAAGAAAAAAACAGAAAATATTTATTCACACCAGAAGCTATTGGACAAAGGAGACCTGGGAATCATCATGGTCTTACAGTGAGGTTCTGAATTCCCTCTGAGAAAGCCCCGATCTGTCTCACTGTCCCCTCAGAGTCCTCCATCTGCAAAAACAATATACTCCACTTAGAATGAGACAAACAACCAGGCGGACCGGATCACACAACAAATACAGCATAATTCTCAACACAAGTGATGATGTCAGTGCGATAGATTCACCTGCTCCAGCCGGTCCAGGTCATCCTCATAGATCTGGAGCTCAAAGCCTTTCTGGAAACTCCGTCCTTTTGGCATCTCTACGTCCATTGGACACACGTACTCCTCATTTTCCTCCTGCTTCTTCTTCCTCAGACCGCTGAAGTTACCAAACGACAGTTTCCTTGGCTGGTTATGACACAGAAAAAAACAAAACCAACAAAACAGGACTTCACATTAAAAACATACTTGAAAACGTAAAAGTTTTTGTCCTTTCTACCCAAATAGCCAACCTGCTGTTCTTCTTTCTATATACTGTCCAGCTACATATACATATCTTGTATTTAACACCTCTAAAGAACATAAATTCATGTTTATTGTCTACATGGGGAGTCTAAATCAAATTCCTTGTCTGTGAACACAATTTATACCGGTAAAGCTGCTTCTGTTCTAGGAAACAGCGCTCAGAGAAAGCAGAGGAGGAAGTACCAGATTACCTTGACTTTAGTAGTGGCAGTAAGTAGAATGTAGTCTGGGTTCTCCAGACACTCCTGTTTGAGCTGCTGAGCTTCTGAGCCAATAAGCAGACTGAAATGTGTGGCAAGGTGGCGACGCAGCAGCGTCTTGTTCGGGGGGATGTTAAGCAGCAGAGCCATGGTCTCCACATTGAACCGGGGCTCCAGAACCTAAACACGCACACAGGTTGTGATTAGATATATATAAGGAGAATCTGCTGCTCAAACGGTGGAGGAAAGCCAAAGTTCCTCACCATTAGACCTCCGTGGACACCGCTGCCCCTCAGGTTAGGAGCGTACTCAGCGAGGTCAACAGATCGAAGCCATTCCATCACCCTGTGGTTGGTCCACTGAGAGATCTCTGCAGGTGAAATGTTGTTCTGCATACAGAGAACCAAAGGTAGTTTACAAAATAAAAAAAACTATATAGCTGAGCCTTTCAACAAAATGAGACTTGTCAGAAAAGATTATCTGAAATCTGACCTGTACAGAACAGAAAAAATGAACTCGCCCTGATTAAAAAAAATGTCCTCCCGCCCCCTAAAAATTTTTTTTAAAACTTTTCCAGGAGAGGTTAAAGGAAGGCTTTGTACAGTCCTGACTTAAGCCTCTTTCCCACTAAATATAGCACGTTAACGTATGTTTTTCAAACATGGGTCGAACCGCTAAGAATCCGCATTTGGCTTCCTTCACACTGGCAAAAAAGGCTGGGTCTAAATAATAACGCTGAAAAAGTACCTCGTCTGATGGTCTCCGACGCAAACAGTTGGGTTCGTAGTTGTTGATTCGAAGAACCTGAATTGCTCTCTTGATGCTGAGGTGATGGAGGACGCTCCCCACCTTCAGGGAGAGGAGGTCATCCTGACAGACAGAGCAGGTAAAGAATCACTAACTTCTCTAAATGTAACACAAAGTAGTAGCTTTCACATAAAACAGGAA